CAAACCCCAAGATGTTTGGTAATACTCAGGAAGCTGCAGAAAGTGAGACACCAAACTTACTCTGCTGTGTTCTGGAGACCTTAGCCTGTTTTTCCTCTTCATGTTTTCTTTCTCTTTTCCTTCGTCTCACCTGTTATACTTTGATCTCACACACCCTTTTACCCAGCACACCTGCTCTTCATTTTTTTCTTCCTTTCTTTTATTGTTTGATCTTATTGGCCAGTTCTTTGTCACGTTGCTTAGTTTATTTCCTTGTGCATCTGTCAACTAATCAAACTAACAGAGGTAACTGGAGCCTTTCTTCCAGGAATAGTGTTCTGTGCCATATTTGGTGCAAGGCAGTGAGAAGACTCTCTGTGTGCGACTTACCCCCCCACCATACTCTCAATAACTGCACTCCTCCAGGTTTTTGCTGCAACTGGAGGATTATTTTTCTGCTTGAGCAACAGCTCAGAAATTATGACGGGGATTCAGTGAAAGTTTGGAATATTTTATGCATGAAATCAGCAAACAGTAGAGGTACAGTGCCTCACAAAAGTATAGGTACACATTTAAATAAGTAATTTCTTCTTAAAATAAGTGCATTTTTTCTTGAATTAAGGATTTAAGTGAAACTCTTTGCCAATGGAACAAGAAAATTTACACTTAAAATAAGAAAAAACAATTGCATTGTCTTATTTCAAGTGCATTTTATCTAAATACCTTATTTGAAGAGTAAAAATACTAATTCCTTTGGCAAATCATCTTATTTACCTGCTCAAATTAAGGGTAAATACCTTTAATTTAAGACATTTTTACTCATTTTGAGATCATTTTTGCAGTGTAGCTTTTTGAAATCATAAAACAATCAAAAACTTTAACCCCTTGATGCTTGAATTTGTACATATAAAAAAGTGTTTGCCTTTAACTAGCTGCAAAATTGTAATTTCTATTACTCATTTTAAGAATAAATAGAATTGTACTTATATAATTTTTGACATTCAATGATAACATACACTTTTAGAGCTTGCCAACAGTGGCGGATTTAGGAAATTTGGGGCCCTAGGCAAAGACCGGCATGGGGCCCTCTGAATTGAGAAGACAAAACATAAAATGGATCCATTATGCAGGTAAAGACATTTCAAGAGAATAAACATCCATTATCTGTTCTAGGTTGTGTCCCTCTCTTCTTGTCCCTTTTCTTCTTGTTTTCCTCTCTA